AAATGGTGCTCAAAAGCTTGATTCGTCGTTTTTCTTCTTCTCCTTCTTCATTCACAAAACCAGGTGCAAGTAGATCTATGATTATGGAAAATTTAGTTTTATATTTGCTTATTTGTTCTATAGCTACAGGTAATGAGAAATTGAACAAGTTCTGGGAGGCAGAACTACCACCGAATTTTGACAGAAGTAGAATTGAGCAATTTATCCGCACTAAGTAAATTATCAACTGAAGCTTATGATTTATCAAATGAACTTGAAGACAACATTGGTTAATATCATCTTCTACTAATTATACTATGGATTTTACAGGTATGAAGAGAAAAGATGGGCTCCAAAGGGAGAAACAGAACCAGCTGCCAAAACTGCTGAAACGAACCATAACATTGACAAGTTCCCAGAAGGTGTCAAAGGTGGTGTCTCAAGAAAACCAAGGGCACTCTCTCTAGAGGATGAGATTTTTACTGAGCACATGTCTCAAATAACTCCTCCGGCAATGAAGTCCCAAAGGGTAATGGCAATAGTTGTTTATATGTTTTCCCTTTTTGCTTTAGTTAAAGAAAATGTTGACTTCAATTACCAGGAAAGATGTTTCATACTCCATCCCCATACATCAGATCCCTTGTCACCCTTTGATATGGATGATAAGGTAGGCCAATTTTTCCTTTAGTGTCAGTGAATAGCGATGAGAAGGGTCTAAATGTAAGGTCTTGTCAATATGTCTTCTTTTCATCTCCATCTTTAACTTGTCCTCATTTGATTTTCACACATATTTATTTCTACGTGTGTCCATGATTACACGGTTTGTTTGTTATTAGGCTTTGTTATCAATTGCTGGGGTATAGGGATATATTTCAAAGGTTCTAGGAGTACCAAAATTTGTAAGAAAGTTGGTATCTTTTAAGGCAAGACAAGCCCAATGCACACAAGAATTTGTGAAGGAAATCCTGCTTGAATGTTGGTATTTATCAACTAGCCAGTAATTCAGTACTATAAGGAGTATCAGTCAAAGCTAGCAAAGGTTGCTGGAACCAAACAATCAGCTTCCATCTAAGATGGCATAATTAAGTCATGCATGAAAATTTTCTGAGAAGTTGCGGTGGTATTGTGCACCAAAGATGGAAGGGAAGCTGTGATTTATGGATGGCCGTCCACAATTTATGGACGGCCGTCCAAATTTTTTCTTTAGTTTTGTAAAACCAAAATTGTGGACGGGCATCCCCTAATATTTTGGTTAAGGACAGGCGTCCCTTAGTTGCAGGTGCCTATCCAAAATGAATGGACGGCCGTCCATAACAGATGAACGAGCGTCCCTAAATGTTTTTAAATTTTTTAAAAAGAATTGAACGCCCGTCCAATATTTAGGGACAGCCGTCCATAACCTATGAACGTTGTCCCTATTTTTTATGAAAAAAAATTATTCCATTTTACTTATAGACGTGCGTCCTTTAAATGGGGACGACCGTCCGTAGTAAATGGACTCCCATTCATATATTATGGACGGGAGTCCATGTAAGTGAACGGCCGTCCATATTTGATGGACGGCAGTCCACAATTTGTGGACGGGAACCCCTTATTTGCGGGCGCCCGTCCAAAATGAATGGACGGCCGTCCATAACGGATGAACGGCCGTCCCTAAATGTTTTTTAATTTTTTTAAAAAGAATTGTTGATGGATGGGCGTCCATTAAAATATGAACGCCCATCCAATATTTAGGGAGAGCAGTCCATAACCTATGAATGGTCGTCCCTAATTTTTATAAAAAAAAATTATTTCATTTTATTTATGGACAGGCGTCCTCTAAATGGGGACGCGTGTCCGTAGTAAATGGACCTCCGTCCATATAATATGGACGAGAGTCCATGTAAGTGAACGACCATCCATATTTGATGGACGACTGTTCACTAGAAAAATATTTATTGTTTAATCACGCGTCTGGATTGCTGGTGTGAGTCAGGGAGACACGTAGACCGGTACACATTTTCGGTGCAAAAACCCCGGTGTCCATAGCTTTATTGTTACTTATAGTATCTGTAAGCTTTAAACTGTTTTATATAGTTTTTGATATATTCCAAAAAGAAAATAGGTGTATGTGTTAAGGGATCTAAGAGAAAGAATTTTACTCTGCCACATTCTTGTGCAAGGACAATGTGTTCGCATGTCTATCAGTTCAGAGACTCTCTTTACGAATTTTTTGTTTTTTTCTTTTGTGGTTTCATTACATTTATTTTAGGGGTTTGCATATTAAAGACCATATTCCTTATGCAGCGATCGACAGATTTGAACATGGTCATTGCTTCACCTCTACCACCATTGACAAAACTCAATACACCCGCAAGGAAGACAAATGGAGCATCTGAATTTTACAACTTGCTTTATGTCAGTAATGGGAACAAGGATCATTCTATTGTTCCTCCTTCACGCTGGGCGACTTTCGATTATAAGACAACTACTTGCATCAAACATGCAACGTTTTCTCTCCAATTCTTCAAACACCTTGATACTATAGTAGACACCGATGGAAGCACCATAAAATTTACGAAGTAATTTAGATTTATATAAGGAAAAAAAAAATCACCAAGCTTAAATGAAACTAACCCATGATAAAAAGCACATTTTATTCACGATATGTAATATTTCTGAGTTTTTTAGTGAATTTTTTTGGTTGCAGGAGCAGATTTGTCAAACTCAAGTCATGGAACTAATAGAGATATCCAACTAGCAATTGCAGTAGAAGTCACTAAGTTTACAAACTAATTGCATTGATATCAACAAGAATTGGTGACTTTGCACATCCTTTCAGGTCATAGTAAGTTGAACAATCTTTCAAGATTTCATTTCCAGGTTCTTTTTTTTCCAAAAACAAAGAAAATAGACAGCATAGTCATCATGTAACATTTTTGCAACAAATGTTTTCTTTATTATTGTACATTAATAAATAGAACACAACATCATTATTTACATTTTGTTAGGCTCTTCAATACCTTTTTAACTGCTGAGCAAACTTTTTGTTATGCCATTGGAATCAAGTTAAATTTATTCATTTTGATTCTTCTCGATTCATTGCTTGGATCTCTTGGGTTGTATAACATTATACTATACGAAATTATAGATCTAGTAATGGTTTGTGTTGAATAGTGAAAATTGATTTCGCCTGCTTGGATTTTTAATAATCTCGAGGGTTCTTAATAATTTTAGGGACGAATCATATTGTCTAATAACCGTGTATGTTTAATATTTAATCGACCACACCAGAGGTGAATGAAATAAACCATAAAAATATTCATATACGGTTTTCGTGATACATTTCAATTATATTTTGAGTTGACACTTCAGCCAAGTATGTCCCAAAGCATTTTATATAATTCTTGAAATTCTTTGTTATGTTAAGGAAGTTTTACATATTGACCATCTATTAATCATAGTATCGACAATTGAAGATTGATAAAACTATTGATACAAGAATTTAACTATTTTTTAATGAGTTGAAAATCGACCCAAATCAGTGATTCAAGAAATCAATTCACATATTAACAAAATTTTCAACAAGGTCCATTGTGTTTGCCAGTTTCTTAGAAACTTAAAACTTCTGAAAGTGTTAGTTGAAATATTTAACAATTTATTAATTATTAAAGATAAAATATATAAATATATCTAAAGAATTTGAGTAAAACCTTTGCTAAAGGGGCATTTAAATGAAACAAAAATGTCTATTTCCCTAAGGTTATCTTAAAATTTCCTTCAGATTAAACAGAAAATGACAGATATTGTAAAAGAAGCTGTCAAAATGTTTTGTTTACCTCTTGTAGACCGTCAAAAAATCCTGAATTTATAACTGAAACAAGCATTTATACTAATTAGAGGAATTCGAAATCAGATGTCACTTGATGTTTAAGTAACAAAAATATCATAAATAATGATCAAAGACATCAACACTTATGATTGAAGGACTCTACATATAAAGACAATGGAAACTTATAAAGGTGAAGACAATGGACACTTACGATCAGGTCATAGGGTGTCAAAAAAGATTTCACAAATCTGTTAAGAGCAAACTGATTTCCTGTTTGTTTAACAAAGTGTTATATGTAAACATTATTTGTTTAATTCCCTGTGAAATCATTTCCTTGTTAAGACTGATAGCATTCTCTAATTTCCAAACCTCTTTGGATCATCAATTCCAACAACCAATTTGCTTCCCCTCCTTGCAAAATAAACTTATCATTGTATTATGTCAGTAAATTAGGCTGCAAACCTTGATCTGCCATCCCAACAAACAAGCCTTTAGCCTCCTCCAAATTTCCCACAAAACACCAACCATAAATTAGAGAGTTAAAAACAACCACATCTGCCTCAATTCTCTTCCCCTTCATTTCCAAAAACAATTCTTTTGCCTTATCAACCAACCTATCTTTGCAAAGACCATCTATAATACTATCATAAGAAACAATATCAGGCTTACAGATAAATTGACAAAATTTAAATATGAATGTCAGTTTAATTGTAGCAACTATAAGGACTAACTAGTAATTTAAAAAATCTAATGGATTTTCATTGATTTAAAACATTATTTTTAATAAAAAATTAGAGGGACAAATTTGATATATAGTTAAGGGCATATTAATAATTTCATATTTAAAGATGGGTATGTTGATAATTGACTTCATTGACATGATATAAAATAATAATAAAATTATTAAGTCAAATAATAAATGGTGTTTTTATCTTTACAGTCAATTGTTAAATATAGAATTTCCTAACAAAACATCGTGGGTGGGAACGGGCCGTTCTCCCAATTTAAACAAATGAAAAAGAGAGGAATTAAGCTCTGACGCTCATTTTGAATTTTTCTATTAAGCCCCGACCTATTTTCAATTTTAATTAAGATAAAAAATATATAAAGAGGAAAGATGAAAGATGAAACCCTACCTTAAAAAGACTAAGCCAGTTTGAAGTTTGTTTGAACCCCAGATAATCCACAAGGCACAAACGGCGCTACTGAAATGGTGCTCAAAAGCTTGATTCGTCGTTTTTCTTCTTCTCCTTCTTCATTCACAAAACCAGGTCAAGTGACTACAACCATACCACAAGATTTAGTACTTAAAGTAACCCAGCTTGAGAAATTCCTCCAAAATGATTGTAAAGAAGGTAATGTCACTCTTGATGAAGCACGATATTTCTTTGAATACATGATTCATTTGCAACCAAAACCACCAATTTCATCATTCAACCAGTTGTTTGGAGCACTGGCTAAGAAAAAGTTTTATGAAGACGTTATTTTGCTTTACAAGCGAGTGGATTCAATGGGGTTGTTGCCAGATCTTTATACTTTGAATATTTTGATTAATTGCTTTTGTAATGTGGGTCGAGTTTGTGATGGTTTTGTTGTTTTGGGGAGGATTTTGAGGCGGGGTTTTAACTCAGATGCTGTGACTTTTAATTCTTTGATTAAAGGTTTGTGTTTAGAGAATAGGGGTACGGAGGCTATGGAGTTTCTGAAGAAAACGGTTGTGTTTGGGGTTAGGCCTAACGTGATTACATATGGGACCTTGATTAACGGGTTGTGTAGAACGGGTAATACCAGCATTGCATTTAGGATACACGAAGAGATGATGGATCAAGGTTTTCAGCCTAATGTGGTGACGTTTAGTACAATGATAAATGGGCTTTGCAACGAGGGGAAGATGGAGGAAGCTAATGGATTGTTAGAATTGATGAGTCAAAGAGGTTTGCAGCCTAATGTGTTGACGTATAATACAATGATAAGTGGGCTTTTCAAGGAGGGAAAGATAGAAGAAGCTAATGGGTATTTGGGATTAATGATTCAAAGGGGTTTGCAGCCTGATGTTTTGACGTATAATACAATGATAAGTGGGCTTTGCAAGGAGGGGAAGATGGAGGAAGCTAATGGATTGTTAGAATTGATGATTCAAAGAGGTTTGCAGCCTAATGCGTTGACGTATAATACAATGATAAGTGGGATTTGCAAGGAGGGGAAGATGGAGGAAGCTATTGGGTATTTTGAGTTAATCATTCAAAGGGGTTTGCAGCCTGATGTGGTGACATATAATTCACTGATAAGTGGGCTTTGCAAGGAGGGGAAGATGGAGGCAGCCAATGGATTGTTTTGTTAGAATTGATGATTCAAAGAGGTTTGCAGCCTGATGTGGTGACGTTTACTACAATGATGAGTGGGCTTTGCAAGGAGGGAAAGATAGAAGAAGCTAATGGGTATTTGGAATTAATGATTCAAAGAGGTTTGCAGCCTGATGTTTTGACGTATAATACAATGATAAGTGGGCTTTGCAAGGAGGGGAAGATGGATGAAGCTAATGGATTTTTAGAATTAATGATTCAAAGAGGTTTGCAACCAAACATAGTTACTTATAACACTTTGATTGATGGTTATTGCTTGCTGCATAGATTTAATGATGCAAAGGAGCTGCTAATCTCTATGGAGAGTAAGGGTTGTAAGCCTGATGGTTTTGTTGTTTTTGGGAGGATTTTGAGGCGGGGTTTAAGACCAGATGTTGTGACTTTCACTTCTTTGATTAAAGTATTGTGTTTAGAGAAAAGGAGTTTGGAGGCTATGGAGTTATTCAAGAAAATGGCTGTGTTTGGGGTCAGGCCTGACACGATTACATATTGGACATTGATTAAGGGGTTGTGTCAGACAGGGAACACTAGTGTTGCACTTAGATTGCATGAAGAAATGGTTGCTGGTAATGGTGAAGGGGGTGTTATCTGTAAGCCTGATATTGTTTCTTATGGTAGTATTATAGATGGTCTTTGCAAAGATGGGTTGGTTGATAAGGCAAAAGAATTGTTTTTGGAAATGAAGGGGAAGAGAATTAAGCCAGATGTTGTTGTTTTTAACTCTCTAATTTATGGTTGGTGTTTTGTGGGAAATTTGGAGGAGGCTAAAGGCTTGTTTGTTGAGATGGCAGATCAAGGTTTGCAGCCTAATTTACTGACGTATAATACAATGATAACTGGGTTTTGCAAGGAGGGGAAGATAGAGGAAGCTGATTGGTTGTTGGAATTGATGATCCAAAGAGGTTTGGGAATCAGAGAATGCTATGAGTCTTTGCAAGGAAATGATTTCAAAGGGACTTAAACAAACAGTGTTTACATATAACACTTCCATAGCCGAGACAATGATACATAATGCTATAATGCAGGTTGTGATCATAAGTTTGCACACAATGTGCCTTATAATAAAGAGAATGCTACAGACTCTGCATCAAACCTGCTTATTCGAGCTTGACCTTGACCTTAACTCGGGCTCGGGATTGGTTTGAACAACACTAGCTTGAGGCCAAGCTTGAGCTTGGGTAGGCCGATCTTTAGCTGAGCTCAAGCTCACCTTTTATCTGTCAAGCTCAAGCTCGACACTGTTGCATCTGAGCCGAGCTCAAGCCATCCAATACTTGGCTCAGCTCGATTACACCTTTATCTGTCATTTGCTGTTTAATCTGAAGGAATTTTTAAGATAATCTTTGAGAAAATAGAAATTTTTGTTTCATTTAAATGCTGGTTTATCAAAGGTTTTACTCAAAAGCATGCTAGCTAGATCTTCATCATATAAAGATTAATTTTCTTTTATGGAGCTTGTCTAAAACCTAGTTGCCTGACTGTGTTTTACTTAATTAGTGGATACTGCAGTCCTTTTACAGTGCATGTTTAGACCTAATTGTTTCAGTGGCATCATTTGTTTTCTAAAATTTTTAATGGTGATTATATACTTTAGTAGGTTTGATTGAAATGTTGCATGCCATACTCTTCAATCTTTGAGAAAATAGAAATTTTTGTTTCATTTAAATGCTGGCTTAAAATTGACAGCCTACAAACTACTGTCTAATAATCTCAAATAAGCCGAAATAAAATCACGCATTCAATACGTCACAAATTATACAACACTAGTACACAGTTTCAAATCAGATACCCACGTCTACCCTCAGCAGTCTAAATAATCCCAACTAAGCCGATAAACAATCAGATATTCAATCACAAAAAATATTTAATGGATCTCGGATTAGTTAAGGAACTTGCAAACTGGTCCGGATACCCCGGTATATTATATATATATTCAACCCATCGTAGGAGTTAAATTGAACAACTAATTGGACCATGTTAAAGGTAAAGGTGGCTCAACCCTAAGACTGACACCCAACTCAAAGTCATCCGGAGACCCATTTTGTGAGTTCAATTTTCAATAGATTCAGCCGGGTTGTACGTAATTAAATTAACCTAATTCAAGATTTCTGAGTCCAATTTAAAAGTGAGCAAATTTGAAAACAGAGAAAAGTTCGTTCATTTGAGTTCATAAACAGAAAAATAAATAAATTCAAGATTTGTTGCAAACCCATTTCATTAAATTTATATAAGATTGTGTTTTAGAATCAAAAACATATAAAATACGCCGAAACAACAAAACCCAAAACAAAAAGTACAAAATAAATAAATAAATAAAGGCAAAAAAGAGAAGCAAAATCGGAAGATGGTGTAAACCTAAAGGGGGGGTTTGGTTGGAGGTAATGGAAGATTACTGGGGTTATATCATTTTATATTACTTGATTATCATGTTTGGTTGTCAAATAATATAAGATTCCGGTAATCTTGCATTACCTATAGTTGTTATTATTTGTAATACTGGAGGTAATCTGATTACCTCTATTCTCTTAGGTATTTCAAGATTACCAAAGTAATTTTATTTTTGTTACAACTCTATCCGTTATTAATAAAAATTTTGGATAATAATGCCCCTATTTTAAAATAAATTTTCATTAATATACCAGTTCAATTTTACCCTTGTTTTAATTAAATTTTTAGATAATAATGCCCTTATATTTAAAACAAATTACAGACCACCACTGCCACCTAGCCATCACCGTCGACAGCGGGCCAACCACCACGGACCGCCACCGAAAATTCGTCGGAGTCCCTAAAAAAGACCGAGATTTAATGGGAGGCTTCGATATGGCCATATTGATGGCAAAAAACGGCCATATCAAGCCAGATCTAACCGGAAACAGCCATATTGGAGCCTCATGGTCACGGTAAGCTACTTACGACGACTTTTAGAGACTTCCGACGTCGTTTGCGGTGGCAGTAGGGGGTGGGGGTGATTTCATCATAAATTAAAGTTTTATATAAGCGGGGGTGTTTTAGCTAAATCTGAAATATTGGGAGTTAAAAAAATTAAAAAATTATTCAAAAATTAATAATAAAAATAATAATATATTAATATTTGAAAAGGGAACAATTTAGTAATTTAAATAACATACCCACAAATTTATTCTCCCTAACCAAACAGATTAATATAATATACCCACTAACTAACCAAACATATTTTTCTAAAGATTCTCAGATAATATAAGATTCTCTGAACCAAACGCCCAAAGAATATATGGTGTTACCTAAGAGAACACTAACTTTCGAGAGAGGGAAAAAGGGAAGAAGTGAGGGGCGGAGGAAAGAGAAGCTGAGGAGTTTCTGACGTATCTGTTGGAGATATCGAGATCAGTAGAGGAGAACGATGAGGAGGAGGAGAATCTGGATCCAGATGAGCGATGGAAGGCAGCCTGGAGGTGAGACACCCATAGCTACAGGGACAAAGCCTTCAAACCTCAAAGGTCTCAACCAAGATTTAAACAAAATAATCATGCTCCCACGCCCACAGTTGAAAACATTGAGATTATCGCAATACATGACATAACACCAATAGGTGTTTGTTAGATAGACTTAAGCTTACTTGCAAGCCTGAACAGGAACAAGTTTCATAAAGGTGGAGATGCCTTGAATCATTAAAGCCCTGGCTTTAAGAACTTCCACTGCAACAAGGACCATGCCTCCAACCAGATAGTCCTTGGCGCGATTTTCAATTCTCTTAAGAATCATGGGTCTCAGCTTCTTCAAGTCGAATTTAGAAATGTAAAAACGAAGCCCACCCCAACTCTCTCAAAACATTTATCCATAAATATGATTTCTTCCTCAAAGCCATCATAATAAATAAAATTGCCTATTACCAATCTATAAGATTTAACACCTTTTATAGGTAATACATAGGAATTATTACTAATAGTATTCATATCTCCTATGATAATAGGATTTGCAAATAATGATCGTTAAATTTACCTTTTTCATATACCAGATTTGTCATAAGCAACTTGAACAATTTTGAAATTAACATTGGTAATGCTTCATCGTATTCAAGATTATTCATTTATTTTATCAGTGGATAACAAATACATTCAAGTGAATTCATTTTACTTCCGTTCCGACGACTGTCGATAGTAGCGACAGTGGCTTGGGTGGGTGAGAGTGATTTTGTCATAAATTAAACTTTTATATGGTTGCAATGTTTTATTAAAATTTCAATTGTCGGGCATTAAAAGAAATGATTAAAAAATAATATTATATTAATATTTAGAAAGGAAGACAATTTAATAATTTATATAACATTCCCACCAGTTTATCCTAACCTAACCAATATAACATACTTATCAATTTATATTGATGGCCGAAAATGGTCATATCTAAGTAGATCTAGTAAAAAATAACCAGATCTATTTTGACCAGATCCATGGCCTTTATCAGCCATATTTGGATGAAATATGACCATTAATAGCCAGATCTATTATGGTCAAAATAGATCTAACTGTTAATGGCCAAATCTACTCCGATATGGCATTTTCGACCATCAATATGGCTTGAAAAGACCATATTGAAGCCTCTCAGTGTCTCTCGACTACTCACGACGACTCCAGACGACTTCCGACGGCAAATGGCGAGGCGGACAATGGCTTGGAGTGGTGGGAGTGATTTTCTTATAAATTAAAGTTTTATATAAGTGAGGGCGTTTTAGCTAAATTTGAAATGTTGGGGATTATTAAAAATTAATATTGATGTTGCGTTCTATTTATTAATGTACAATAATAAAGAAAACATTTTGCTGCAAAAATGTTACATGACGATTGTGTTTCTGTTTTCTTTGTATTTGGAAAACAAAAGAATCTGGAAATGAAATCTTGAAAGATTGTCCAGCTTACTATGATCTGAAAGGATGCGCAAAGTCACCAATTCTCGTTGCTATCAATGCAATTTTCACTCAGTTTGTAAACTTAGCGACTTCTATTGCAACTACTAGTTGGATATCTCTATTAGTTCCATGGCCTGAGTCTGACAAATTTGCTCCTGCAACCACAAAATTCACTGAAGAAATTAGAAATATTACATATTGTGATAAAGTGTCTTTTATCGCCAGTTAGTTCCATTTAAGCTTGGTGATTATTTTTTTCCTTCTGTCAACCTAGATTGGGCCTTGGAGGAGGGCCCAATCTAGGGACCGGTCCCTCCATGGGCCTGGTCCGAGTTTGGGACTAGGCCTCCTAGGATTGGTTTTTTGGGCCAGTTTTTTGGAACCGGTCCCAAATGCCCAGGTCTACTCTTGCCTCGTGTCCGTTTGCGAGGTATATAAAGTAAGAGAAAGATAGTTGATGCCAATATTCAGGCAAGATTTCCTTCACAAATTCTTGTGTGCATTGGGCATACCAGTGGACATGTCTTGCCTTAAAAGATAACAACTTTCTTACAAATTTTGGTACTCCTAGAACCTTTGAAATATATCCCTATACCCCAGCAATTGATAAACAACCGTGTAAATCATGTAATAAAATGAGGATAGGTTAAAGATGGAGAAGAAAAGAAGACGTATTGACAAGACCTTACATTTAGACCCTTCTCATCACTGACACTAAAGGAAAAATTGGCCTAACTTATCATCTATATCAAAGGGTAACAAGGGATCTGATGTATGGAGATGGAGTATCAAACATCTTTCCTGGTAATTGAAGTAAACATTTTCTTTAACTAAAGCAAAAAGGGAAAACATATAAACAACTATTGCCATTACCCTTGGAACTTCATTGCTGGAGGAGTTATTTGAGACATGTGCTTAGTAAAAATCTCATCCTCAAGAGAAAGTGCCCTTGGTTTTCTTGAAACACCACCTTTGACACCTTCTGGGAACTTGTTAATGTTACGGTTTGTTTCAGCAGGTTTTGCAGCTGGTTCTGTTTCACCCTTTGGAGACCATTTTTCTCTTCATACCTGTAAAATCCATAGTATAATTAGTAGTAGATGATATTAACCAATCGTGTCCTCAAGTTTATTTGATAAATCATAAGCTTCAGTTGATAATTTGGTGCGGATAAATTTCTCAATTCTACTTCTGTCAAAATTTGATGGTAGTTCTGCCTCCCAGAACTTGTTCGACTTCTCATTACCTACAGCTATGGAACAAATAAGCAAATAAAACTCTTATTAATATGGGAAAATGTAATCAATGGCCAACAAACTTAGATTATTTGTAAAACAGGAAAATCGAAAAAGATAAAAAAATCACAACGAGTACTAAATTATCAATAAACTTATTCTAATACAAAGCAGTTTCTTTAGCCACAATATTTAACAGAAACAACAATAACTGTCATATTGTTGTAACAAGATATGCTTGATAGATCCGCATATTACTATATTAGTCAGTCCAACCATGGATTCTTGATGGTCTAGGGGGATGCTCATTTGGTTCAATGCAAAAATCCATAGAAACATAAACTTGCATTGAATCAAAGGAATTTATCATGTTGTGTCCTACATGGGGTGCTTTAACTCAGATTAAACCACTTGGTTTCTTACACTGCATACAAGTCAGGAGGGCAACAGGGTGGGCCGAGGCCAGATGTCCCATTCCCCGTCCATGTCCTGTCCCCACTACAGGGATGACGGGAAATTCCTGTCCCTGCCCCGAACTAAGGGAAAAAATCCTAGAATTGTGGGGATTTCCCCCCCACCTCATTCCCCGCACAAACTACAGACATCAGGCCCTGAACCACTAGCAAACATGAAGCAAAGTGGCTGCATTTCCAGGACAAGAAACTGCCAAGACCCACCAATACTACACAACACCGAACACGCTGCAAGAATCTCCCAGACCTCCACCAAATGCAGAGACATGCTGCAACTCTGGAGAAACCTTCATCCCTCCAAAACTTCCTTGCAAACAAAAAAGTGCTAAAATCTGCTGCAGCAATTCCAAACAGAAAAAGCACTGTAGAAACAGCAAACACAACCAGCCAACCCAGAACAACATGCAACATCCCCAGGCAAGCACAAAAAATTGCAAACTGCTGCTGCTGCAAACTCCCTGAATCTACAAACACTGCACCAATCTAGCTGCACCTCCGAACAAGGCCGCCACTTCTCAAAAACACTAGTACACAGTTTCAATCAAATGCACACACCTACAAACAACTGTCTAATACCAAATAAGCCGAAATAAAATCACACATTCAATATCTCACAAATTATACATGGTGTACAACACTAGTACACAGTTTCAAATCAGATGCCCACGTCTACCCTCAACTGTCTAAATAATCCCAACTAAGCCGACAAACAATCAGATTTTCAATTACAAAAAATATTTAATGGACTCTGGGGATTAGTTGAGGAATGCACAAGCTGGCTCGGACTCTCCGGTTACTAACATATATATATTCAACCCATTGTAGGAGTTAAATTGAAGAACTGATTGGACCGTGTTAAAGGTAAAGGTGGCTCAACCCTAACACTGAAAAGGCCACGCTATACAGCTTGAAAACTTTTAACACCCAACTCAAAATCATCCTGAGACCCATTTTGTGAGTTCAGTTTTCAATAGATTCAGCTGGGTTGTACGTAATTAAATTAACCTAATTCAAGATTTCTTGAGTTCAATTTAAAAGTGAGCAAATTTGAACAAAGAAAAGTTCGTTCGTTTGAGTTCATAAACAGGAAAATAAATAAATTCAAGAATTGATGCAAACCCATTTCATTAATTTTATATCAGATTGTGTTTTAGAATCAAAAACATATAAAATACGCCGAAACAACAAAACCCAAAACAAAAACACAAAAAGTAAAAAATAAATAAAGGCAGAAAATAGAAGAAAAATTGGAAGATGGTGTAAGCCTAAAGAGTATTGGAGTGTTACCTGAGAGAGCACTAACTTTCGAGAAAGGGAAAAAGGGAAGAAGAGAGAGGCGGAGGAAAGAGAAGCTAAGGAGGAGTTTCTGACGTAGCTGTTGGAGATATCGAGATCTGACGAGAAGAAACTGAAGCAGTAGAGGGGGACGATGAGGAGGAGGAGAATCTGGATCCAGATGAGCGATGGAAGTCAGCCTGGAGGTGAGACACCCATAGCTACATGTACAAAGCCTTTAAACCTCGAAGGTCTCAACCAAGAGTTAAACAAAACAATCATGGTCCCGCACCCACAGTTGAAAACATTGAGATTATCGCAATGCATGACATAACATGAAGAGTTGTTCGTTAGATAGACTTAAGCTTACTTGCAAGCCTGAACAGGAACAAGTTTCATAAAGGTGGAGATGCCTTGAATCATCAAAGCTCTGGCTTTAAGAACTTCCACTGCAACAGGGACCATGCCTCCAACCGGATAGTCCTTGGCGCGATTTTCAATTCCCTTAAGAATCATGGGTCTCAGCTTCTTCAAGTCGAATTTAGAACTATAAAAACGAAGCCCACCCCAACTCTCCCAAAACATTTATCCATAAATATGATTTCTCACTCAAAGCCATCATAATAAATCTAACCTTGTGAATATTGCCTATTACCAATCTCTAAGATTTAACACCTTTGGTAGGTAATACATAGGAATTATTACTAATAGTATACTAATGATGCTCTTTATTTTAAAGAGTTTAGCATTATCGTTGGTTTTTAAATATAAAGAATAAATTTTTTATTCAAAACTAATATACTCTTTAAATTTTAAGAGAGAGAATATGTTTTTTAAAGAAAAAACTTAATAGAATAGATATATTATAAATAAAATTCATAGAAACTTGCAATTTATTATTTAAAATTAGGATAGAGAGTGAAATTTGACTATCTAAATGTGAAGAGTCAAACTCACTCTTTAATTTATATTTAAAGAATAAATAGTCTGTTGAACTTTTATTTCTATGGATAAAAGTTGGATTATATAAAGAGTTATTTGGAGATGCTCTAATAGGATTTGCAAATAATGATCGTTAAATTTACTTTTTTCATATACCAGGTTTGTCAAGAGCAACTGGAACAACTTTGAAATGAAGAATGGTAATGCTTTATCGTATTCAAGATTATTCATTTATTTTATCAGTGGATAACGAATACATTCAAGTGTATTCATGTTACTAACGAATACATTCAGGTGTATTCATTTTACTTTCGTCCGTCCATGACACGTACAAACAAAATAATGATTTATTGTATCTTTGACGGTATATTTACAAACTTAGTGTATTACTTGATTAGTATGAATGAATAAAAAAAAAACTATAATATGCTTTTAAACAAATCAATTATTTTGTACCCACATTTTTATAAATTACTTTATTAAAATTTAAAATTTTCCATGCATTTTTACATCCTTTTCAACATTTGCTATTTGGTTGGGGTTAACTCTTGTTATTGAGATAATGTCATCTTATATTACTTAGATTATCACGTTTGGTTGTCAAGCAATATAAAATTCCGATAATCTTCTAAAACCAAATCTTATTACTTAGATTACCACGTTTGGTTGTCAAGCAATATAAGATTTCGGTAATCTTCTAAAACCAATAATAATTACTGTTGATTATATAAGTGGTTATCTGATTACCTATATTTTCTTAGGTATTTTATGATTAAATGATAAGATTAATTTTCTTATAATTTATCCCTTATTAATAGAATTTTTAGACAAAAATGCTCTTATTTTGAAATTAATTTACATGAACCTGCCATTACAATTTTACTCTTAATTAATTAAGTTTTTGGACAATAATGCCCTTATATTTAAAACAAATTATAGGCCACCTAAGACGACTGCTGCCTGCTAGGCAACCACCGCCGGTTGCAGGCAGTCGTCAAAATGCGCATGATTGGCCAGATATGGCCTGTCATGCATTGATCTGGCTGTTTTCAGCTAGGTCAATGGATTTAGCAATTAGCGGCTAGATTTTTGGCCCACGACGCTGGAATGGATCTGATCTGGCTAGAAATGGCGAGAATTCTGGCCAGATCCACGGCCAGATTGGCGTACGGCTGGCTAGATTCGGTCGATCATGCATCGTTTTGATGATTGCCGATAGTAGCAACAGTGGCTTGGGTGGGTGGGGGTGATTTTGTCATAAATTAAACTTTTATACGGTTGCAATATTTTATCAAAATTTCAAATGTAATGCGTTAAAAGAAATGATTAAAAAAATAATAAAAATGATATTATATTAATATTTAAAAAAGAAAGCAATTTAGTAATCTATATAACATTCCCACCAGTTTATTCCAACCTAACAAATATAACATACCTATCAATTTATTCCGACCTAACTAAACACATTTTCTTAAACATTTACAATAATCTTTAGGGGGCATTTGGTTGGAGGTTATATGTGATTACTGAGGTTATCTCATCTTATATTACTTGATAACCACGTTTGGTTGTCAAGTAATATAAGACTCTAATAATCTTCTAATACCAATAGTTGTTATTGTTGGTAATATTGGAGATAATCTGATAACCTCTATTTTCTTAGGTATTGTAAGACTACCAAGGTAATCTTATTTTTGTTATGATTCTATCCCTTATTAATAAAATTTTAGGACAATAATACCTTTATTTTTAAATTAATTTACATGAATTTGACTTTTACTATTTAATCCCAATTAATTAACTTTTTGGGCAAAATTACCCTTGAATTCAAAACTAATTGCAGCCCACCCAACCCACCACCCTTACCCACCTGCTGCCAGCCAAACCACCGTCGGTCGCGCTTTAGAAATCACCGTGAGTAGCCCATTGTCACCGGGAGGCTCTAATATGGCCGTTTCTAACCATATTGATGGCAAAAAATGTCCATATCGGAGTAGATTTGGCTGGAAATGGCTAGATCTATTCTGGCCAGATCCATAGCCTTTATTGGCCATATCTGGATGAAATATGACATTAATGGCCAAATCTATTCCGACCTGTGAATGGCTAGATCTACTCTGATATGACATTTTCGACCATCAATATGGCTTGAAACGATCATATCGGAGCCTCCCAGTGTCTCTCGGCTACTCACAGCGACTCCACATGACTTCCGGCAGCAAATGGTAGTGGCAAGCAATGGCTTGGGGTGGTAGGGGTGATTTTGTTATAAATTAAAGTTTTATATAAGCGGGGGTGCTTTATCTAAATTTGAAATGTTGGGGGTTATAAAAAATTATTCAAAAATTAATGATAAAAATAATATTATATTAATAGTTAAAAAGAGGGCAATTTAGTAATTTAAATAACATATTCACAAATTTATTTCTCCCAACCAAACATATTAGTATAACATACCTACTAATTTATTCCAACTAACCAAACATATTTTCCTAAAGATTCCTAGTAATTTTTAAGGTAATTTAACTTTTTAGTAATCTACTATTCTCAGTAATCCAACATTCCTTGAACCAAACGCACCCTCAAGGTAATATATCATTTTATTAATATAACATTCTCAGTAATACAACATTCCCTAAACCAAACGCACTCACCTATTTTCTTCTAAGGTGTAAATGATATTAATAAAAAAAAATTAATCATATATATAAACTAATAAGAGAAATGTTAGATGTACAAAGACTATTTTTCAACCGATAAAGATTAAAGAGTGATGACCAAACACACTCACTTATTTTCTTCTAAGGTGTAAATGAAGGGGATTTGCATGAAGGGGAAGATGGAAGAAGAAGTGGGGTGCGTTTTGGGTTGTGCGAAAGCGTGAAAAGATGTAGAGAAAGAAGAAGCAGAGGAAGACATAGAAGAAGCCATTGGTTATGAGCTTTGAAACAACGTCGAGTGAGTTACAGAAGGTTATGGAAGATGAGAAGTTAGGCAACATGCGTGGGCAGTCTTCTCTCCTCTCACGTGATGAAGACTTTTTACTATGAACTTTGAGCGTGTCTCTCGTGAGAGAAGACTCTTTAATAACAATGGCCATGCCTCCTACGAGTCAGGATGGGTTTCTGTTCCATTTTGTCACCCTTCTACTTTCCAAACCTTAGCACTTGAACCTTAACTCAAGAAGTAGATAATAGACGATTTAACCGTGTTTTCTAATGGCAAAGTGTTTTACCACAATGTTGGACGCGCTTGGAAACGTGGTTATTTGCTTTATGGGGTGCCAGGATCTGGAAAATCAAGTTTAATTGCTGCCATGGCTAACTACCTTTGCTGTGACGTATATGATCTTGAGCTCACTAAAGTTACAGACAATTCAGAGTTGAGAGCATTGCTTACACAAACTACAAATCAAGTTTATTTGCGGACGCCCATCCATAAGTTATGGATGGCCGTCCCAAAAGTTTTTTTTTTTTTTTTTTTTTCATGTTTTGGTTAAGGACGGGCGTCCATTATTTGCTGGCACCTGTCCAAAATAAATGGAGGGCCATCCATAAATGATGAACGGCCATCCCTAAATGTTTTTTTAATTTTTAAAAAAAAATTGCTAATGGACGGGCGTCCATTAAAATATGAACTCCCGTTCAATATTTAGGGACAGCCGTCCATAACCTATGAACAGTCGTCCCTAATTTTTATAAAAATATTTTATTCCATTTTACTTATGGACAGGTGTCCATATAATATGGACGGGAGTCCATGTAAGTGAACGGCCGTCCATATTTGATGGACGACTGTTCACTAGAAAAATATTTAATAACGCGTCTGGATTGCTGGTGTGAGTCAGGGGACACGTAGTCCGGTACACATTTTCGGTACAAAAATATCGGTGTCCATAGCTTTATTGTTAAATATAAAGAACAAAATTTTTATTCAAATCCAATAGACTCTTTAAATTTTAGGAGAGATAATATGTTTTTTCAAGAAAGAAACTTAATAGAAGAGATAAATCATAAATAAAATGTATAGAAACTTTGCAATTTATTATATGGGATTACTGAGGTTATGCCATCTTATATTACTTGATAACCACATTTGGTTGTCAAGTAATATAAGATTTCGGTAATTTTCCAATACCAATAATTGTTATTGTTGGCAATATTGGAGATAATTTGATAACCTCCATTTTCTTAGGTATTGTAAGACTACCAAGGTAATCTTATTTTTGTTATAATTATATCCCTTAGTAATAAAATTTTAGGACAATAATACCCTTATTTTTAAATTAATTTACATGAATTTAACGTTTACTATTTAACCCCAATTAGTTAACTTTTTGGGCAAAATTACCATTGAATTCAAAACTAATCGCAACCCACCCAACCCACCACCCCTACCCACCTGCCGCCAGCTAACCACCGTCGGCTGCTGTTGGAAATCACCATGAGTAGCCCATTATCACTGGAAGGCTCCAATATGGCTGTTTCTAGTCATATTGATGGCCGAAATGGCTAGATCTATTATGGCTAGATCCATGGCCTTTATTGGCCATATCTGGATTAAATATGGCCGCTAACGGCTATATCTATTTTGGCCGGAATAGATTTGGCTGTTAATGGTTAGATCTACTATGATATGGCATTTTTGGCCATCAATATGGCTTGAAACGACCATATTGGAGCCTCCCAGTGCCTCTCGGCTACTCATGACAACTCCAAATGACTTTCGGTAGCGAATGGCGGTGGCGGCCAATGGCTTGGGGTGGTGGGGGTGATTTTGTTATAAATTAAAGTTTTATATAAGTGGGGTTGTTTTAGCTAAATTTGAAATGTTGGGGGTTATTAAAATTATTCAAAAATTAATAATAAAAATGATATTATATTGATATTTATAAAGAGGGTAATTTAGTAATTTAAATAACATATTCACAAATTTATTTCTCCCAACCAAACATATTAGTATAACATACCCATTAATTTATTCAACTAACCAAACACATTTTTCTAAAGATTCATAGTAATCTTTAAGGTAATTTAACTTTTTAGTCACAACTCTCAATAATTTAACATTCTCTGAACCAAACGCACCCTCAAGATAATCTATCATTTTATTAATATAACATTCTCAGTAATACAACATTTTCTAAACCAAAGGCACTCACCTATTTTCTTCTAAGGTGTAAATGATATTAATAAAAAAAAATTAATCATATATATAAACTGATAAGAAAAATACTAGATGTACAAAGACTATTTTTCAAGTGATAAAGATTAAAGAGTGATGACGAAACGCACTCACTTATTTTCTTCTAAGGTGTAAATGATATTAATAAAAAAAAATTAATCATATATATAAACTGATAAGAAAAATACTAGATGTACAAAGACTATTTTTCAAGTGATAAAGATTAAAGAGTGATGACGAAACGCACTCACTTATTTTCTTCTAAGGTGTAAATGATATTAATAAAAAAAAATTAATCATATATATAAATTGATAAGAGAAATGCTAGATGTACACATACTATGGTTAAAAAGTGATGCTAAATAGCCCCCACCTAGTTTCCATTAAGTCCCCAATGTCAATTTTAATTAAGATAAAAATGTAAATAAAAATATATAAAAACGAAAGATGAATGTTTAGCTTCCACAAATGGTGCCACTGAAATGTTGCTCAAAAGCTTGATTTGTCGTTTTTCTTCTTCTCCTTCTTTATACACAAAACCAGGTGAAGTGACTACAACTATTCCACAAGATTTAGTGCTTAAAGTAACCCAGCTTGAGAAATTCCTCAAAAATGATTGTAAAGAAGGTAATGTCACTCTTGATGAAGCACGACATTTCTTTGGATACATGATTCATATGCAGCCCAAACCACCAATTTCATCATTCAACGGATTGTTTGGAGCTCTTGCTAAGAAGAAGTTTTATGAAGACGTTATTTTGTTTTACAAGCGAGTGGATTCAATGGGGTTGTTGCCAGATTTAATTACTTTGACTATTTTGATTAATTACTTTTGCAATGTGGGTGGAGTTTGTGATGGTTTTGTTGTTTTGGGGAGGATTTTGAGGTGGGGTTCTAGCCCTAATGTTGTGACTTTTACTTCTTTGATTAAAGGTTTGTGTTTGGAGAATAGGAGTATGGAGGCTGTGGAGTTGTTAAAGAAAATGGTTGTGTTTGGGGTTAGGCCTAACGTGATTACATATGGGACTTTGATTAGCGGGTTGTGTCGAACAAGGAATATGAGTATCGCACTTAGGATACATGAAGAAATGGTGGATCAAGGTTTCCAACCTATGTGGTGATGTATAATACAATGATAAGTGGGCTTTGCAAGGAGAGGAAGATCGAAGAAGCTAATGGGTATTTGGAATTAATGATTCAAAGGGGTTTGCAGCCTAATGTGGTGGCATATAATACAATGATAAGTGAGATTTGCAAGGTGGGGAAGATAGAGGAAGCTAATGGATGGTTAGAATTGATGATTCAAAGAGGTTTGCAGCCTGATTTGCGGACGTATAATACAATGATAAGTGGGCTTTGCAAGGAAGGGAAGATTGGAAGAAGCTAATGGGTATTTGGAATTAATGATTCAAAGAGGTTTGCAGCCTAATGTGGTGACATATAATACAATGATAAGTGGGCTTTGCAATGTGGGGAAGATGGATGAAGCTAATGGGTTGTTGGAATTGATGAGTCAACGAGGTTTGCTGCCTAATGTGGTCACGTTTAGTACAATGATAAATGGGCTTTGCAAGGAGGGGAAGATGGAGGAAGCTAATGGATTGTTAGAATTGATGAGTCAAAGAGGTTTGCAGCCTAATGTGGTGACGTTCACTACAATGATAAGTGGGCTTTGCAAGGTGGGGAAGATGGAGGAAGCTAATGGGTTGTTTGAATTGATGAATCAAAGAGGGTTGCAGCCTGATGTGGTGACGTTTACTACAATGATAAGTGGGCTTTGCAAGGAGGGGAAGATGGAGGAAGCTAATGGATTGTTGGAATTGATGATTCAAAGAGGTTTGCAGCCTAATGTGGTGACGTTTACTACAATGATAAGTGGGCTTTGCAAGGAGGGGAAGATGGAGGAAGCTAATGGATTGTTAGAATTGATGATTCAAAGTGGTTTGTGGCCTGATGTGGTGACGTTTACTACAATGATAAGTGGGCTTTGCAAGGAGGGGAAGATGGAGGAAGCTAATGGATTGTTAGAATTGATGATTCAAAGAGGTTTGCAGCCTAATGTGGTGACGTTTACTACAATGATAAGTGGGCTTTGCAATGAGGGGAAGATGGAGGAAGCTAATGGATTGTTAGAATTAATGATTCAAAGAGGTTTGCAACCAAACATAGTTACTTATACAACTTTGATGGATGGTTATTGCTTGCTGCATAGATCTAATGAAGCAAAGGAGCTACTAATCTAATGAAGCAAAGGAGCTACTAATCTCTATGGAGAGTAAGGGTTGTAAGCCTGATGGTTTTGTTGTTTTTCGAAGGATTTTGAGGCGGGGTTTAAGACCAAATGTTGCGACTTTCACTTATTTGATTAAAGGTTTGTGTTTAGAGAATAGGAGTTTGGAGGCTATGGAGTTGTTCAAGAAAATGGCTGTGTTTGGGGTCAGGCCTGATGCGATTACATATAGGACCTTGATCAAGGGGTTGTGTCAGACAGGGAATACTAGCGTTGCGGTTGGATTGCATGAAGAAATGGGTGCTAGTAATGGTGAAGGGGATGTTATCTTTAAGCCTGATATTGTTTCTTATTGTAGTATTATAGATGGTCTTTGTAAAGATGAATTGGTTGATAAGGCAAAAGAATTGGTCTTGGAAATGAAGGGGAAGAGAATTAAGCCAGATGTGGTTGTTTTTAACTCTCTAATTTATGGTTGGTGTTTTGTGGGAAATTTGGAGGAGGCTGAAGGCTTGTTTGTTGAGATGGCGGATCAAGGCTTGCACCCTAACTCACTGATGTATGATACAATGATAAGTGGGATTTGCAAGGAGGGAAAGATAAAGGAGGCTAATTGGTTGTTTGAATTTATGATCCGAAGAGGTTTGGAAATTAGAGAATGCTATGAGTCTTTACAAGGAAATGATTTGAAAGGGAATTAAACAAACAGTGTTTATATGTGGCACTTTGTCAACCAGTCTTTTTCTATCAAATAAAGTTGGAGATGCACGGAATCTATTTGATGAGATGAAACTTTACAATGTCGCACCTGACTCAGTTACATATAATATTTTGGTTGATGGGATACGTAAGAATGGTGTTCTGGAGTTAGCAAAATTGTTTTGCACTTAGAGAACTACAAGTTTAAAATTGCCAGCCTCATTTATGGGTTGTGTAAAACTGGAAGGATCGAAATTGCTTCAGAGATATTTCACAATTTGCCTCAAAAGAGCCTAATGCACTTGACTATAAAAACTATGTTGTATGTGGGCATGCTGGAATCATTTGTTTTTAAGAAGAATGAAATTATTCTCCCTGCTTGGCCTCACTCATTGACACTGCCGAATCTGTTCTCTCTTAGCATAGGTACCTCGGGTAAGAGGCGATTTGTGAATCTTTTTTGATAGCCTATGATCTGATCTTTTGCTCTTCAATTTTATAAGTTCCCATTATCTTTATATGTAGAGTCCTTCAATCATAATTGTTGATGTCTTTAATGATTATTTATGATTTTTTTTGTTCCTTAAACTATAAGTGACATCTGATTTCTGATTCCTCTAATTATAAATTCGGGATTTTCTGACAGACTGCAAAAGGCAAACAAAACATTTTGACAGCTTCTTTTACATTATCTTTCATTTGCTGTTTAATCTAAAGGAAATTTCAAGATAATCTTAGGGGAAATAGACATTTTTGTTTCATTTAAATGCCCCTTTAGCAAAGATTTTACTCAAATTCTTTAGATATATTTATATATTTGATATTTAATAATTAATAAATTGCTTAATTTTTCAATTAACACTTTCAGAAGTTGGAAGTTTCTAGGAAACTGGCAAACACAATGGAGCCTGTTGAAAAATTTGTTAATATGTGAAATGATCTCTTGAATCATTGATTTGGGTCAATTTTCAACTCATAAAAAATAAAAAATAGTTAAGTTCTTGTATCAATAGTTTTATCAATCTTCGAGTGTCGATGCTATGATAAATAGATGGTCGATAATCTTATCAATAGTTTTATCAATTTTCGATTGTCGATACGATGATTAATAAATGGTCAATATGTAAAACTTCCTTAACATAACTAAGAATTTCAAGAATTAGTTAAATTGCATTGGGACATACTTATTTGAAGTGTCAACTCAAAATATAATTGACATGTATCATAAAAACCCTACATGAACATTTTTATGGTTATTTCATTCACCTCTAGTGTGGTCAGTCAAAATATAATCTTTATCTTTTTTCCTATTTTATGGGCTGCCAGAGAAACTGGAGCTTTTTGTGCAATGAAGGAGGTTGATATCATCCTTGATGACCCTAAGTTTGCTGAATGTATAAAGTAGTTGGAGGTTGGAGCAGGTCACTATCTCAGGTCCTTTCTCAAATAATTTAGTTGGTTACAAAATAATACTTACTGAGAAATATGCAGATTTGAATTATTTGTCGTACCCTAGAATATTTGTTGCCAATAGTATTCTATTCCAACAATATGGTATTGGAATTTGTATTTTTCATACATGAATTCTGGCCACAATAGTTGATTGTCAATTGAAATCAAGCCTGAACATTGTGTTCACAGTAAAATAAGCGGCATGCATAAACTCAGTCACCCTTTTCCTCATTTTGGCTCAGCACCTAAGACCAGTACCAATCTACCACTCCCTTTGCTAAATCCCCAGGGATAATACCAATCTGATATGCTGTTTAGAAGTTCCAATTCTTGTTCATCACCACTTCAACTGTGTTAATTGTGGATACATAAGGCACCATACTTCAGTCAGATTAGTTGGACATAGGTTTTTTTTTTTTTTGTCCATTTTTCTTGAAAACTAACTATTCCTATTTGTGGTAATTGTTGCAGGAAATTATTGTTCTCCAACACTTAAAGCATCCAAATATAGTACAGTATTATGGAAGTGAAGTGGTGTGTGGCTCTTCCTATAGAATACGCTAGATTTGACTGTGTTTGTATTAGTGCAGATATAATTCGTTCATAAAATATTGTTTCCACTACAGGTTTATGATCACTTTTACATATATTTGGAGTATGTTCATCCCAGATCTATTAATAAATATGTTTGTGACCATTTTGGAGCTATAACAGAATCCATAGTTCGCAATTTCACCCGACATATTTTCTCTGGGCTGGCGTACCTGCATAGCACAAAGACAATTCACAGGTAACAATTGGTGCTTGACAAGGAGCAGAGCATTAGAGTCAACTTCTTTGTTTATAGTTGATGATTACACTTTGCAGATTGCTAAAGTCCATAAATATTCTTAATCTTGTAAAAAGGCGATAGTAAAATTATCAATGATGTTTTGGAAGAATTGAATGACTGCTTGCTTTACTGTCTTGACTGTTTTTACATACTTGCTTGTTGAATTTGGATTTTGTTGGAGAAGTGGCACATTTTTTAGTTATAAACTTATTGCTTTGGCCTATGAGTATACTTATCTACATTATTATGATTTATCGGGATATTAAAGGCGCAAATTTGCTTGTTGATGCATCTGGTGTTGTAAAGCTTGCAGACTTTGGGACGGCAAAACATGTGAGTTTTAAGATTCTTTAACACTATGTAGTAATGAATATTAGTTTTGTTTGATCTATTGTAATTTGAGAGAATGCTTCTCTAACATTATCTTTTCATAGATCGTGTTCAAGGGTTAATGTTTGTATTAGTAAATTAATTGTAGTTAATGTTTATTTATGTATATTTGATTCTCTGCACTATTATTTGCAGATCTTTTCTAGAATGAATTATGCATTGTAACATATATTCATTAGCATGCATAAGGTCACTGGATCTCTGAATAAGCAGGTGCAACTACTGTTGATTGCTTCTCCTTTCTTTTTGCAGTCCGAATTCTCTTTTCATTGAAGAATTAATTTGGACAGTTTCTCATTTTTTCATGTAATCAACTCTTTTACAATTTTTCACTCTGAGTACTGAGTTCTATAGTTAATTGCTCAAAATGCATCCAGATTTAATTAGTTACAAACTTTTAAATGACATGGGAGATTCTACTTTAAGAATTTTAAACATTTTTTCATATCTTGCTTTCCTGATAGCATATTCTGCTTGTTAATGATTTTCTTTTGCATGTTACTGAATGGGCTTACAGCTTGATTTCTGGTAGAGTAATACTAGCCTTACAAAGAGGCATAAAAAGAGACAAATCCAACCCTTAAAATTCATGATTGCCTCTCTCTCTCTCTCTCTCTCTCTCTTTCCCTTCTTTTAAGGGCTGAATTTGTCTCTTTGTATGCCTCTTTGTAAAGCTAGTATTACCTTTTCTGGTATGGTGATTTACTTACAAAATCAAAGAGAAAAAATGCTCATTTTTGTCCTTATATTTTCTGTAAGGGTTTGCACATGATCTTTTCTCTACCAATCACTTTAATTGTCTCATCTTCTATTTGTCAGCCTCAAGCTATGTTCAAGGTCTTGCATAAAACCCTGCCTATACCAGAAACATTATCTTTAGAGGGAAAGGGCTTTCTCCAATGCTACTTTTGAAGAAATCCTGCAGAGCGGCCATCAGCTATGGTGCTACTTGAGCATCCTTTTTTCCGTAACTCAAATGATAAAGAAAAACCCAACACAGTTGGGATGAGAACGCTTGAAATTTCCGTATACCTTATTGTTTAGTAGGTTTTGTGTTAAGTGTTTGTTGTACAATGTAACCAGGAAGAAAAATTTGGTGTCATGTTTTGGTTATGTGACAAAGGAAGGACTTGTAGATATTTACACATTATTTTGTCCAAATGAAATTCATTCTTGACAACAACTTGGATTTTTTGGATATCTATGTCAAATAATGTCATTGTTGTATAATTCAATAAATAAATGGGAGTTAAAATAAGCATTAAAACAGTTTTTTATAGGTTGACTGATGAGGTTTTTTCTTTAAGTAATACAAGAACCAATACCCATAATCCTGATTATACTTTTAACGAATTGAATAATTGATTATTTTGATTCAGTTGCATAATCTAAACCAGGATCATATGTAGGATTCAAGATACTATAATTTAAACCCAGAAAGACAATTATGTTTTGATGAAAATGGTATTGAAAACGCGAGAGACAGATTGGGAGAAGATTCCACCAATTCAATAGCATAAAAAGTAAGATTTGGAAGGTATCAGTAACATACAAATTGGGATACAATTCCACCATTTCAATAGCGACTGGAAGTCAAAAAAATCTTTCATCTTCATATAAACTTAAAATACAAATACATAGTCAATACTACAAACTCAGTATTAAATTTGAATGCTTCTAAATTACAAGATACTACTATACAGTCTGCCCTACATCTTGCAATTTTGCATATACCAGAATATGGAGCCGACGAAAGCTGAATGCTTTTTCCTTCTCATCATTTCAGTATCTGGCTAGAGAAATATATTTTGAAAATTATGTAGAGACTAACCATGAATAATGTGATTTTATGACTCCAATGATCAAAGGAAGGATCGGAGTCCAAAAACAATAAAGAGAACTCCACCTGAGAGTACAACCTACACCAAGATAGTTAAACCGTTACATTTGCTCAATAAAATAGATAGCATGGATAAACCACAATAGCAATAACCAAGCAGCGAAAATTTTCCAAGATTACTATTTTCTCTGATATCTGAGATGCCAAGCTCTTTTCTCCAAGGACAACAGCAGTGGTACACAATGCTTGTCCTCTAAAGAAAAGAAAACAATCAACACAGATGTGTGTAATATGTACATCAAAGGTTACGAATTTGTGTCTCAATTACCAATATTTATTTATCTTCTTTTACTCTCCTTTTCTCTGCTCACTTAACTATCTAAACAGAATCTAAAACTTCTCCCACCTCACTTCACTTCACCTCTTCCCATTTCTCTCAATGTTGTTCAGATACTAACTACAGCTTGATTAAGGAGTAGACACTCAAAAACAATACATTACATTACTCCAAATACATTTCAGGGCAGCGACGTGGAGATATTTTTCCCCCGGGGATGTAACTCCTATCAGAAGGCACAAATTTAACCAAGTAGCAAAAATATGAACAAATCAAATAGGGAATCAATATACAGAAATTTAACTAAAATCATCATATATTACAAAGTCAAATTCTTAGAACAACCTTCAGCAGTACCAAATATAAATCGCAAACACATCTCCAAGTACTAAGTGACAATATGAGGCATTATATATAAGTAGAAAATATGGAAATAATGTTTGACTGCACAACAGAAGGAAAAATTAGGTTTCAAATGCCAGTCACTGCAGAACATTAAAACTGAAACAAACATTATGAAATAATAATGCAGAAAAGATAATCAAGAACCAAAAGTAGAACCAATCACCCAATCCACAAGATTAATGTAACAATAAAGGAACTCCATAAAAAAAAGTGTACGTGTCAGACAACATGATAAGAATGAGGGAGACTCGTCGTCTGTAAGAGAGTGATGCACAAGGCACAAACGACGCTACTGAAATGGTGCTTAAAAGCTTGATTCGTCGTTTTTCTTCTTCTCCTTCTTCATTCATAAAACCAGGTACAAGTAGATCTATGGTTGGAAAATGTAGTTTTGTATTTGCTTGTTTGCTCTATAGCTACAGGTAATGAGAAGTCGAACAAGTTCTGGGAGGCAGAACTACCACCGAATTTTGACAGAAGTAGAATTGAGAAATTTATCCGCACTAAGTAAATTATCAACTGAAGCTTATGATTTATCAAATGAACTTGAAGACAGCATTGGTTAATATCATCTTCTACTAATTATACTATGGATTTTACAGGTATGAAGAGAAAAGATGGGCTCCAAAGGGAGAAACAAAACTAGCTGCAAAAACTACTGAAACGAACCATAACATTGATAAGTTCCCAGAAGGAGTCAAAGGTTGTGTTTCAAGAAAACCAAGGGCACTCTCTCTAGAGGATGAGATTTTTACCAAGCACATCTCAAATAAATCCTCCAGCAATGAAGTCCCGAAGGGTAATGGCAATAGTTTTTTATATATTTTCCCTTTTTGCTTTAGTTAAAGAAGATTTTTCATACTCCCATCCCCATACATCAGATCCCTTGTCACCCTTTGATATAGATGATAAGTTAGGAAAATTTTTCCTTTAGTGTCAGTGATGAGAAGGGTCTAAATGTAAGGTCTTGTCAATATGTCTTCTTTTCATCTCCATCTTTAACCTGTCCTCATTTGATTTTCACACATATTTATTTCTACTAGTGTCCATGACTACACGATTTGTTTGTTATTAGGCTTTGTTATCAATTGCTGGGGTATAAGGATATATTTCAAAGGTTCTAGGAGTACCAAAATTTGTAAGAAAGTTGGTATCTTTTAAGGCAAGACAAGTCCTCTGGTATGCCCAATGCACACAAGAATTTGTAAAGGAAATCCTACTTGAATATTGGTATTTATCAACTAGCTTTCTCTAGCCAGTAATTCAGTACTTTAAATACAATTATGATCGCAAACTGACAAGGGACAAGAGGTCTATATTGTGTATCGCAATATTGTCATTTTGGCCTAACCTAGGTTCTTTGGACGAGACTGCGATTTGTCCAAGAAGTACAGCAGCATCCGGTTCCATCGCGGGTTATATTACTTGCACTCTAACTAGATGAGACATATGAGTTGATTTGGTTTCGGTATTTGCATTTGTTGAAGGTATCTTCAAACTTTAAAGAGGTCTTACACTAGTCGAACTGCATTCTTGTTTCACATTGGATGGATTTTGGGAATCTTCTTCTATTAAAATGAGCATCATTTTGTTAAACTTATTTTTCCTCAGTTTGATTACTAAGAATTAGTCACATAATTACTTATAGCATCTCTAAGCTTTAAATTGTATCATATAGTTTTTGATATATATTCCAAAAAGAAAATAGGTGTATGTGTTAAGGGATCTAAGAGAAAGAATTTTACTCTGTCATATTCTTGTGCGAGGACAATGTGTTTGCATGTCTATCAATTCGGAGACCCTCTTTACGAATTTCTTGTTTTTTCTTTTGTGGTTTCATTACATGTATTTAGGGGTTTGCATATTAAAGACCATATTCCCTATGCAGCGATTGGCAGATTTGAACATGGTCATTGCTTCACCTTTGCTGCCACCACCATTGATAGAACTCAATACACCCACAAGGAAGACAAATGGAGCATCTGAATTTTACAACGCTTTACCCTTTTGGTTTTTAGAAATTAATAATGTAATTTTAATTTTTAAAGTCTAAGTGTTAAAATTAATCATGAAATGAATGACGATCATTCTTGAAATCAAAGATGATAATGTTAATTTTTGAAATCAGGAGGGTGAAACTGCCCTTGATTTTGTTTTCGGGTTGACAATCCAGGACAATCTCTTCACCCGATCTTAGAAATTGACACTATATATAACTTATAATTCTCAGAAATATGTCTATTTAAGTAAGCAAAAGAAAGATGAGAGTGACATTGTTAGTTTCTGAAACCATGAGTTTGAGTTGCCTTAAAAGCCATCAATTAAGGGTAATAATGTAATTTCAAATAGTAATAGCAGTGGAGCCCAAGGTCGGTGCCCTATTTATTATGAGTGCGTTTGGTTTATTATTTTGGATAAGATTTTGGGGATAGTATTGGGTTGTTGGATAGAGGAGTATTACGAGATAAACTTTAAAAATTTATGAAAAAGCCCTTAGGTTTACTAATTTAATTAAAGACCCTGATATATAAAATGACAAAAACACCCCCACCACCTACAGTGCCAGATTCCGGCCATCATCACCAGAATCTGGTCAGAAAAGGCCAGATTTACAGCCTGCTGTGGCCGCGACGACTGGAAAAGGCTAAAACGATGGCCAAAGATATGGCCGTCGTTTTCGGTCAACAATGGCCATTTCTTTGGCCGTCGTTGACGGGCAGATCTGGCCTTTTCCGGCCAGATCCACTGTGGATCTGGCTGGAAAAGGCCAGATCGGTGAATTACTGGCCAATTCCGGTTGGTAATTCACCGTTGTGGTAGATTCCAGCTACCACTGACGGTGGTTGCCGGAATCTGGCAAGTATGGGTCACGGGGGTGTTTTTGTTAATTTTTAAACTTTTTTTCAGGGGGTATTTAATGAAATTAACAACCTTATGAGATCTAAAAGTAATTAAAAAATAGGATAATATTTCTGGAATAATGTGCCAAACATTATTTAGAGAATATGATTGGGAATATGGATGATAATAGGGAACCAAACGCCACCATTATTTTTATTTTTGAAATATATATAATTTCAGGGGAGTGCGGTTTTTGTTTGCATTTCTTTATTGGGGGAAAGGTCACATTGAATTGAAATTTTCAAAGTGTTCTCTTAAAGAATTTTCTTGCTTGTTGATTTTCTCATAAGAATACGCTAAATTTTAGGGTTGTAATTAGATACTCATGTACAATTGGTTTAATATGAAATGTATCGAAGATTATTATCAAAATATATTGTATACTCTCTAGATCGTCAAAAACCCTCTAAGAGGAGTATATATTGGTTTATTTGAAACATACCAACAAATATTATAAAATATTATACACCTTTTAAAATAATCAAAATCCTATGTAAAGTATCAAAAACCCAGTTGATCGAGGAAAATATTACTTTTTGGTAATAGAGCATTTCAAGTAATCTCATTACCTAACAAAGTGGTGGCAATGGCTTGGGTAGGTGGGAGTGTTTTTGTTAAAATTTAAACTTTTTATTAATAAAGGGTGTTCTTGTAAATTATTTAGATAACTAGGTAATCTCAGGATATCTAAAATTTTATTAACAAGGGATAAAATTGTAACAAAAATAAGATTATCAAGTAATCTCATTACTTAAAAAAATGGTGGTAATCCGATTACCACATATATAACCAACAATGATTATTATTGGTATTAGAGAATTACCGAGGTCTTATATTAGTTTACAATCAAACATGAAAATATCAATAATATAAGATGATATTACTGTAGTAATGGGAGATAACCCCCAACCAAATAGCCCCTAAATTTTATTTATCTTCATTAAAATAGAATAAAATAGGATTAAATATAGAATAAAGTTAAGAGTTGAATATTTTAAATCGAATTGTATTGATAACACCCCTTTTGAATTTTAAATGAACTCATGTGCACATGACTTTGTTTTGTTAATTAATTAGGACCCTTTTGAATATATATATATTTGTTATTATGATAGAAAATTATAATATATGACTAAACTTCTATATATTACATTCAATATTAATAATACATATATTGTCTTCTCGCCATCAACATAATTGCAAAACAATTGAGAAAGACATTTCGGTAATAAGTCTGATTCTATTTTATTTGTCATTTGAAGCAGTGTTTTGAAACCCGACCTAGGGTGAAACGTAGCACAGTGGTCGGGTGTTGAGTTGACCAGTTGAACCGATTTAACTAGCAAGTCAAACCGGTGACGTCAACATGAATAAAGGTTTGGAATCCAGTAAAAACACCCCTAAAAATTACTATAAGTCCCTAGAGATTTGAAATCTTGCAAAAACACTCCAAATTAAATCGTCGGCGTTGACAACCCATGCCAAATAGGGCCTATTTCTATGGTTGAAAACTCTGCCTCGGCCTCCTGACCAAAACCCATCTCGCCCCACCCCTGTTTGCCTCACCAATCATCGACAATAGCCCGTTGTTGTCGCCGATTTATTTTTGTGATTTCCGATTGTTTCACTCATGGGAAATCAACTTCGTCACCACCTTTCCACTCACCAGCCCTTTCTCTTCCAAATCCCCAACATCCCAGCCTTCAATTGTTCGCTGATCATCGTCCTAATTTCTAGGGTTTTTGATGAATAGTAAAATTGGTAATTTGGCTCGGTGAAGGCCTTGGTCCTGATTTAACCAGTTCAACCGACCGGGTCGGGCCGGGTTTTAAAACATAGATTTAACGTAAGGAAGGATCCCAAAAAGCTGATCTTTCTTTTAGTTATCAAACAAATGAAAAAGAGAAAATATAAGTTTAACATATTGATGCTCATTTTAATTGAAAAAGATTCTCCAAATCCAGCCATACATGAAACGATAATGCAGTCCGACTAGTGTAAGACCTCTTTTAAATAGTTGATGCTCAGTTTAATCATATCAATAGAGAGTGATATGCTATGCTACCTTAAAAGACTAAAAGAAATTTAACTCCCTAGACCTCCCAAGTTTGCATTTAAAAAATGTCCTTGAAAATATTTTTCAATTTTTTTTAATTTAGAAAAACTGACATGGCACACTTAGGATTCATTAAACATGTAAAACGGGTTAAAGTGAAAGGATTTAAACATATGTGGGTAATATTTAATTAACGAAAGTTTGTTTAAATTTTGAAAATTAAAAACGACCCCTACCCTTCAAAATCGCTTAATTGAGCCAAATACCCAAAAAACGACCGACGAACACCTTTGATTTCTTTGCCATTTTTGGCAATGAAAGTGCCCTATTTTGGCAAATATTCGATCCTAAAGCTTCCTTACACAAAATCATGACTGATATTCAGAAAGAGGAGGAAAACCCAGCCCCACTCCAAATCCTAGACTCTGGTGGTGGCGGTAGTTCAAAGGTTGTCAAAGAAGATGCTCTGGTGGATCATCCAATGAGTGAAGGTGGTCCAGAGGTAGAGAAGATGACGGCAGCACAAGAACAGAGAGAGGAATCAGAAAACAGTTCTAAAGAGGAGGATACTGGCGAGAATTCAAGCGAGGAGGAGGACGCCGGTGAAGAAAGGGTATGTTTTTTACTTTTTTTTTTTTTAATTGGATGAGAAATTTGATTGATTTGTGCAAATTTGGGGGAGATGTATTTGGTTTTTTTTTTTTTTTTTTTTTTTTTTTTTTTTTTTTTTTTTTTTTTTTTTTTTTTTTTTTTTGGGGAAGGTACAGATTTCTATAAAAGTAGACAAAATATGTACAAATACGAGGGGCATACCCCAAGAGAAAGGCTGATAAAACTCAGTCAAAAGAAACACATGGAAGAAACCCACAAAGCCACAAATTGGCATAAAAGAGTGTGCAGGCTCCCCACAAAACAAAATAAGAAGATGCCATAAACCACAAAGCCACAAACCGGCATAAAAGAGTGCGCAGGCTCCCCACAAAGCTAATCAGTAAGATGCCATATCACACAGAGCTGGGCCGAGATCTCATACTTGGGTGCTAAACCCAATATCTTGGCTTGGACTAAATCACAAATAGCTAAGACCGTATCTCTGCGAGAGCTACAGTGCTGACGAAACACACGGTTATTTGGTTCAAACCATTAGAAATAAACAGTAGCTGAAAGGACTAACCAGGAAAGAAGGTGTCCGAAGTCCCCTTTGCATCTAAGATGCAAGCCAGCCCATTGGAGCAAAGGAAGCCAAGAGAGAGTAGGCCATGTAGAGAGCGTCCTTGCAGTGACCTCTCGCCAAACATAACTAGAGAAGTCATAGATGAAAAACAAATGGTCATGGGTCTTTGTAGCCGACCTGTACAAAACACACAAGGAGGATGTAATGACACCATGAGAGCTGAGCCGATCCATGGTGTGAAGCCGACCAAGAGAAGCAAGCCACATGATGAAAGAGTGGCATGGAATCTGCCTTGGAAACCACAGGAGATGATGAATCAAGTTCACATTCCAGGCTGAATCAATAGAGAATCATCCAGACGAGTGACCCTTCTACACAAGATGATCAGGAAGACCCATTGAAGGCTACACTGTAATAGAGTCCCAGATATGCTGAAGTTCTACACTACTCAAAGGAAAATCCCACGAACCATCTTGAATAATATCCGAAACCCAAGCATCCCATGGCAAACCAGTAGAAGTCAAAATCCTAAAAGGGAGCAAGTCACACAAAGGTCACTGCGGTAACCAATGATCCCGCCATAACAAGGTGTCCCTACCATCACCGATACAAGTCATAATAAGACCCCAACACCAATCCTTGCTGAGTAAGATCTTCCTCCAAGCCCATGAAGCCCCAGATGTAACTCGAATATGCCAAAAAGATCGGCCACGGAGGAGAACCAAACGGGCCCAAGAGGACCATACAGAAGACCTATCATTAATTAGTCTCCAGCCATGCTTAAGAATATCCGCTCTTTTCCAATCTTGGATCCTCTTAATCCCCAGACCATCCTCTCTTAATGGATAGCAAACAGAAGACCATGCAACCTTGGCACCCAAAGGGGACAGAGAAGCACCCTTCTAGAGAAACGAGGCCAAAATACTCTCAATTCATCTCACTGTAGCTGTCGGCAAAAGAAACATGGATGACCAATAGACCTGTATGGAGAAAAGCACCGACTTGATCAACTGAAGTCGGCCTGCATAGGTCAAAGATATCGACGTCTATAGCCTAATTCGAGACA